TTGTAGTAATACAGAAAAAGTAGCCAATATAATCAGGAGGCTACATTAGCTCCCCTCCGAGGAATATGACTTTTTAGTTCAGAACAAGGTCGATGGACAAAGTGTATGGTGTAGTCTACCCAATTATGTACGATGGGAGAAAATAGAGAATTTCTTCTCCTTCCCTCATAACACAGGAAGCCAAAGAGATCCAATGAAGTGGAAGATTCAGGACAAATCAAAGAAAGTGTTAGTTCTTATCACCAAACTGTGGAATTCATTCCTATAAGATGTAGTGATAGCTGCAAATGTGGATGATTTGGAAGTGATTATACAAACTCATGGAAGAGAAGGCCATCCATGACTACTTGTGATGGCTCTGTGTTACTTCCAGGATAAGAGGCAGTAGGCCTCTGAATACTATTTGATGGGGAAAGTTGAGCAAAGGCTAGCATCCTCATCATGTGTCTCTTACAGGCATTGAATTCCGATTGAATTCTAGAAAGATTCTGATTGATCTCTCATGGGAACAAAATAACAAGACTAAATAGATATTTGAAAGCTGGCTGGATAGCTCCATAGATTTGGGGGGGGGGGGGTTTCAATTCCCCACAGGGCCTCCTGGAAGAAGAGTCAACTTACATGTCCCAGGGCACCCCCAGAAGAAGGGAAGGGTAAAGCACTTCTGTGTATTCTCTACTTTAAAAAAAAAGTGTTGGTTGCAGTCATAAGGCTTCCAGATTTAGACATAGCAAAGACATAACCGAGAACTATATTTGTGTCCATAATCCTTTCTCTTTTAGATATAGTGAAAGGACTTTTAACATACACTTTTTCTATTCTTCTAAAAGTTAATCTGAGTCTTTTTATAAACCCTAAAGTTCTTCTGAATACATTTTCCCACACTTTATTTTTATTTGCTTTACTTCCCCTTAAAGTATGTATTATCTGATTTTGGGAGGTGAGCCTGAGGATAGGGAAACATCTGTTTTAAAATGTGTTGGTCAGTGCCTGCATGGTAATATAAGGCACTTTATGCTCTGGATAATTGCAATTATCTAAGGACTTCATTTAGGGGATGAATCCTTCTTCTTGAAACGGACCTCAAGGATACCATGGCATAGTTTAAGCCATGGAAATAAAAGGATATGAAGGACACAATGACCATTTTAAAAAGTGACAGTTCATCAAAACTAGCAGTTTCTGTGCTGAAGACAGTTATTTCAGTAGAGAAACACATAATTAAAAGAAACAATAGCCATCGGACTCCTCATAATCAGAGGAAATGAAAAATATCAGGAAGAAAATTGCAGACTGGATATATCCATAAATCCTTCAACTAAAGAAAGGCATCTTGTGTTATAACTAGATGCTGAGTACTTCTGCTTCTGCTTCTAAATCAAATAGCTTAATCAGAAATATAAACAGCTTGCAATGCCAACAGAAGAGAAATCCATGATTTATCTAAAGTGCAGTAAGTACGGAAAAGTTCAGTGAAACTAGAATATGCTATGTAACAGAAGATCCGTACAGCATACATCTGTTTAGCTATGTTGTTTTGCATAATGCATAGCATAATTTGAAACCTGCCCTACTTAATCAGAAGATCTGCATGCTATCTAAAATGTTATGAGACAATAAAAAGAAGTAGCTGGAAATAAGTTTTACTTCATGATCAAGCATTCCCTCTAATTCAGAATGGTCAGTGCCTGCCTTTTTTTCCCCCTTGCTTTGCTAACTTAAGAATCACCAAAAAATTTTTTTCAGGTGCTTCTGGTATTGAGAGAGAGAGAGAGAGAGAGAGAGAACACCAAGAAATGAAGCAAAAATAGTTCATGTTATCCTACCCGATGCTCTTGCATCAAGTTGTGCATATTCTGAAAGATACACATTTGCTGAGCAGACACGGATCATACTTCCCTTACTACTCCTTTGATTGGGAAATGGAAACATGGAATTTATTTATTAACCACTGTTTAAAAATCTGCTGAGTAAGTTTGTAAATGCTACTCTGCTGAGTAAGTTTGTAAATGTTTAATCCTGGAATTTTGAATGTGAAATTCTTGAGACAGGCACAAAACTCAGTGGGATCTAGAAATTATACTACTATAGATAGATCATACCACTTAAAGCAGCTGTGAAAAAAAATCTACTAATATAAATGTAAAATCAACCACACCAGATGAAGTGCTCCATGTTATATTAGAGCTTCCATGTTATATTAGAGCTGCTTCTTAAAACCTGTGTAGTAGATCATATGACAAGAGGGCTTTCTGTATTTACAAATAAAATTGTTAAGGAAACATAGGCAGCAGCACTCTGGAAGTGTGGTTCAGTACTGTATTGTATTGTATTTATTTATTTATTTGATTTATTTGATTTTTACCGTGCCCCTCTAGACCATGTCTACTCGGGGTATTCGCGAAGGCTTTCACGGCTGGGATCTAATGGTTGTTGTGGGTTTTTCAGGCTCTTTGGCCGTGTTCTGAAGGTTGTTCTTCCTAACGTTTCGCCAGTCTCTGTGGCCGGCATCTTTAGAGGACAGGAGTAGCACTCTGTGCCCTGGTACAGTTTGTTTGGCAGTTGTGGCCAGGTATATATTGGAACCACAAAATGAAGCTGTGACAGCCTCCTCACACTTCACAGGGGAGCTGCCACGTCACTCTCACACACACGCTATAATCACGCTGCCACCAACCACTCCTTCATAAGACTCTTTAGACAAATGTATGATTTTAAAAATAAAAACTTGTATTTTATTGATAACCACAGAAGGAATGGTAAATCACTTTATCAACTAAAATAAAAAGGCAATCAGTAATAATAAAGTATCCCCTCATACACACTCTCTCTCAGACCTTCATTAACTCAGTACTTTATAACATATACAAGCCCTAACTCCCTAAGTCCCTACCAGACCCTATCCAAGCCCTATCTGGTTCATATCATGTCCCTATCTTGGACCCTATCTAAGCCCTATCTGACTCACACCTCATTCACTCCCCCCTTAAATACCATGGCTCCACCCTCTGAAGTCCCACCTCCCGTCATGCTATAGGCAGATGAACTCCAGCCCCAGCAATGACAGGCAGATGACATCATCGCTACCGTCACAGAAGCATGGTTTGGTATTGTTTTGTAATTTTGTAATCCAACAGGACCTCTTCAACAGTGCAGTTTATAGAAGAGAAAATCTTCTGGCTGGTGTTCAGAATTTATCATAATGGGGTAATTTTACATGAGCAAGAATGACCTTTAAAATGTTTGGCTATCTGATGGATTGAGTCTAGAAAGGAAAGTTACCCAGAATTTTTTTCTAAATGCCTGACTAATGTGGACTTTAGATTAATGGCCTAAATCTACCTTCTTAGCTAGATTAGACCATTGAATCAGCTGCTGGAAGGTAAAACTTTTGCAAATCCTATTGATACAGTGGATCTACTCTAGATGGGACTACCAAATGGATTTCAACTACTGTGTTTTGCTTAAATTTAAATACAAAATTACATACTATGCATTGGTTGTGTGTTCATGCTCCTCACCATGTAGATATTAGCACTGACAACATGAAAAATAATAATTGAAAAGTCTACCTGTCACTTTTATTTTATGATACTCTTTGGCAAGAATCCAAGGAGGTTATTCTGCTGGATCCCACCATTCCATCAACTTTGCCAATCCCTTCTCCCTCCTGCAGCCTTCTATCCACCCAAATAATTTGATCCAGAGTGCTAAAAACTCCTTAGTGAGGTGAGAAAACACCAGCATATCTCTCCCACTCTGGCCGCCTTACATTGGCTGCCTATTCGTTTCTGCATTGTCTTCAAAGTGTTAATGATGACGTATAAAGCCCTAAACGGTTTGGGACCTCGATATTTGGCAGATCGCCTTCTCCCACCTAGATCTACCCGAATTGCTCGGCACAGCCAGGATGGACGGTTGAGGGGCCTAACGCCGAGAGAGGCATGGAAAGAAAGAACTAGAAACTGGGCCTTCTCGGCAGTGGCCCCTCAACCATGG